GGCGAAAATTACATGTAAACAATTTTAAGGCTATTTTGGCTATGCTTATCGCTGGTCTGGTTACTGGTATAGGGCTATAGAGCCAAGCCGTTAAAATTAGACCACAGATTGCCTCGATTTCGCCAGGTGGGCTAAAAGCAGACTACACGTAGCCCGTCCAATTTAGAGCTAAATCGTGGCTACATATAGACCATGTCATGAAATGACACTTATATATTTGCAGATATTATTGACACTGCGAACATGATCGGATATCAACCATCTCATGCGCCGTCTGGCCAAAAACTACAGTGAATCAGGTTTGACTATAAGTGGGCTACAGATAGCCGCTCTGACTACGAGCTAAATCGTGGCTACGCACAGGCTACGTATTGAACATGTCAAAGAAATTAAACCAAACACCTTGTAAACGCTGTTGACTCTGCTTACATGATGGAATATCATACATCTCACAAGTTATTTTGCCAAAAAACGACATGAAACCAAATTCATGGTTATTTGGGCTAGAAGTGGGTTACACATAGCCGGACTATATCGGGTCTATACTTAACCGAGACGGTGAAATGACGGCTATTGCTGGCTGGGAAGTCTTCACTGTATGGAAAAAAATCCATAGAAATGGTCATTTTCTGCCAGGCCATTATCCGTTACGTTCAGGGTAGCCTAATTTCATGCAACCAAAAAACAATGCTAAAACACCAGTGAAAAATCAATACGGCAAAATCGTTCATAAATTGTTTATTTGTCTTGTTTAGGCACACATTTTGTTTGATTAATGCATAAAACATGTAAAGACAATGTCATATTTTCTCTCAGAACAAGTCTTGTTTTATTTCATAATAAATCTGTTTAAACAATGACTATTATTAGAACACAGCCTGCCGTCTGTCTCTTCTGATGGATGTTTTATGAAGGATCAGAGTGTGTCAAATATCGTGAGGGAATCTTTACATAACCTCATGAAAGTGCGTATCAATACCACGAGTTTCTATTTCTATTTGGCGTAGGCTACTATTTATACACAGAAATGGACTTTGGCATGCATATGATACGCAATGCTTAGGATTAGGGGTGTGGCAGGTGAGTATTACATGTACGGCAAAACTGTGTATTATATGCACGCAGTGGCGTAACTTTGCTTTGAAAAGTGGTGGGGACAACGCGCAACTCGTTTTGCTAGTTTTTTATTTAATAACCTAATTTACTTGGGGACTGGGTTTAGAGTTGAACAAACTTAATGTTTGCTTTTCAAAAATTCATCGATGTACCAGGGGCGGCGCCAGAGAATTTTGAACGCAGGTGCTGAGGGGGTGCTAGATCATTGACAGAGAGAGCTGGGCAATTCAGGGCTCCAGACTCATTATTCCCACTGCTCGCTCTTTTGCGATTAACTTTCTCAGTTGGCTGTACGAGCACGGGACATGTCCCACCCGTCCCACCCGCAAATTACGCCTATGTATGCACTCGAAAACTGCGTATTATATGCACGCCAGCACGAGCAATTCCTGCGGGAGAAAAGGGCTGTTTTTGGGAATGATGCTTCTGGAGTTTATCTGTTGATTCAGATCCATGCATTTCCCTCCGGACTAACATGAGCTTGACATCAAAATCTTTTTTCAAACTTCATGTGTGACTTTTTATTAAAAACGACTTAAAAGGTGAAAGACAAAAATAAATAAATAAATAAATAAAAAATCCCCAAACTGCCCGGATTTCACAAAGATAAAACATCCAAACTCAACTGTTCTGTGACAGACGCTTTGGCTCAAACTTTGCTTATT